CTTCTCTTCTCCCTGCTGTGTCTCCGCTGACAGAGATTAGCGGGCAGGCGAGAACGGGAACAGGTGAGTGTCACGTAGCGCCCAGAGAACCTGATATGGAGATGGCAGAGGAGAGTAGCCTACCGGCAGCTTGTGAGAAGTGCCACTTCAAGCACTCAACTCAGGAGGAACAACGATATGCAATCTCATTTATGTCTTACTCTGATCACAACAAGAGATCCCTAAATGATCTTAAATAAGTCTAATTTGAGTCTAACATGGGCCCATGAGATCAGAGAAAGATCTCAAAGAAAACTCGGCTATGACTGATATCCTGGGATCTCATAATTCTTCTCAAATATGTCTCACTTTTATCATAGTGACCTCAGGAGCAAATAACTCATCTGTGACTTACTCTGATCAAAAGATGAGATAAAGAAAAAAAGCTCCAAGATATGTCTCAGTTTTGTCTTATGCCGTTTTTCAATTACCAGGACCAGCTCAACTCGCCTCGACTTGATTTGGCCGCGTTTTCCATTGCAGATAGCACCCAGAGACAGCACCTCTCAATGTAGCTGGTCGTCATAGCGACGCCACACACAACTGCTCCAACGTAATGTTCAATGCAACACACACACCAGAGACCCACATTCAGCTGTCTCTGAATTTGAGTTAAAACGTTTCATTAGTCAGAATGTAAAGACAGATAAGCGGTATGAAAACCTTCCAGCTGTGTTTTCCTCTGCCATTGTTGCTGCAGCCGTCTGTGTGGCGGCGGGAGCAGAGGGCTCTGTGAGCGGGCGGCTGGCCGGCCTCACAAGCTCCTCCCACGGGTTGGCGCAGGCTTCCCCCCGCTGCCACTTGTGGAGCTCCTCAACTCAACACTAGCACTGGCTGTAATGTACATTTACTCAAGTACTTTACTTATGTCAAATGTTGAGGTACTTGTGCTTTATACTTTTACTCCCCAGATTTTCAAATCCTGTATTGTACTGACTGTATTTATTGTTGTTTATCTGAACCATGTGAGAAGTTACTGAGAAGAAGAATAAAATATATTTTGTCATTGAAAATAATGCACTTTCAAATTTTATGCTTTCCAATTTGTTATGGTAGTCATAAGTAGCAAACAGGAGCACCCACCACTTTGACATGATGTTTAGAGATGAATTCACTAAGGACTGAATGCACACAATAACTGAGATACAATGTCCTACGGAGTGAGCACTTTTACTTTTGATACTTAAGTAAATTCACTATGGAATACTTTTATACCTTTACTTAAGTAGAATATTGAGGACTTTAACTGTGGATATGGTATTTTAACAGCAGGACTAGCGTATCCTGCTCAGGTCAAAGTCTTCAGTAAGGTTCTCCCTACATACTGTCTATGGGTTCTCCAGGCATAGACCACTAATTCATCTAAAACATCTACCTAGTGCAATCAGCAAAACATTAATGAACTAAAAAGAACAAATGATGAGATCTCATGGGTTACTTCCATTTCTCCTTTTGTAATCTCAATTCAATATCCATTTGTCTTACCTAAGTCTCACAGACTCTCTCCTTGTCTTATCTTTTCTACTAAGGGGGTTTTAGGAGCAACAATTCCGATTGAAGTGCTCTTAAAAAGATATACAACTGAGATCTCAATACTTTCTCACGAGTAAAAGAAAAGACTATTCTGAGCAAAAGATTTTTCCTGTGAGGATCTTCAAGTTTTCTTTTCCCACACTGATCTCATATACAGCTCCAGTCCTTTAACTTGCTGCTGCTACCAAGCCAATGATAACAAATGAGACATTTTAAAACATTGCCTCGTGTGTGCAGCCCTCACTAATCTCTACGAACTGATCCTGATAGATTTTGGGCCTCTTTGTCGGTGCTAAATGCTGAGAGCACAGGTGTATCCTGCTGTCAAGTGTAGTTGTTGTTTTCTGTTGTTGTATTTTCTTTACTGTTTCGACAAGAAGTGGAGGTAGAGGCATTGAACGTATTTAAGGTATGCCTGTCAATGGTACTTAATTTCCAACGGTCATATGTGTGATTTTGGAAGTCTGCCGGGGATGCTCTGATCTCCACATATTGCTTGTCCTGCTCTGTGATGGTGATTTGACAATGCTTGACGAAGACCTCTGTTAGATCGAAACATAGCGCAGTGTGCATATCTTTTGTCTGATTCTTACAAGTGTGTTATGCTAGTAGCGGCTAATAAAGCCTCAATCCTCAAGCAGAGTTGAAGAACGGGCTACAGAGGTCTTATGAGCTCACTTCTTTCTAACTCCACACCCCTAGATTTTTTTGGAGTCTTCAGCCCCAATGGACATCATACTGACTCAAGTGACACAGCTTGAGGACATTTATCAGACTTCGCACAGTTCCCTCTGGACACACTTGAGGTTTTACAGTGGGGGAAAAAATTATTTGATCCAATGCTGATTTTGTACGTTTGCCCACTGACAAAGAAATTATCATTCTATAATTTTAGTGGTAGGTTTATTTGAACAGTGAGAGACAGAATAACAACATAAAAATCCAGATAAATGCCTGTCAAAAATGTTATAAATTGATTTGCATTTTAGTGAGTGAAATAAGTATTTGACCCCCTCTCAATCAGAAAGATCTCTGCCTCCCAGGTATCTTTTATACAGGTAACGAGCTGAGATTAGGAGCACACTCTTAAAGGCAGTGCTCCTAATCACGTTTGTTACCTCTATAAAAGACCCCTGTCCACAGAAGCAAGCAATCAATCAGATTCCAAACTCTCCACCATGGCCAAGACCAAAGAGCTGTCCAAGGATCTCAGGGACAAGATTGTAGACCTACACAAAGCTGGAATGGGCTACAAGACCATCGACAACAGCTTAGTGGTGACAACGGTTGGTGCGATTATTGGCAAATGGAAGAAACACAAAAGAACTGTCAATCTCCCTCGGTCTGGGGCTCCATGCAAGATCTCACCTCGTGGAGTTGCAATGATCATGAGAACGGTGAGGAATCAGTCCAGAACTACACGGGAGGATCTTGTCAATGATCTCAAGGCAGCTGGAAACATAGTCACCAAGAAAACAATCGGTAACACACTACGCCATGAAGGACTGACATCCTGCAGCACCCGCAAGGTCCCCCTGCTCACGTGCAGGCCCGTCTGAAGTTTGCCAGTGAACATCTAAATGATTCAGAGGAGAACTGGGTCAAAGTGTTGTGGTCAGATGAAACCAAAATCGAGCTCTCTGGCATCAACTCAGCTCGCTGTGTTTGGAGAAGATGCTGCCTATGACCCCAAGAATACCATCCCCCACCATCAAACATGGAGGTGGAAACATTATGCTTTGGGGCTGTTTTTATGCTAAGGCGACAGGACAGCTTCACCGCATCAAAGGGACGATGGACGGGGCCATGTGCCGTCAAATCTTGGGGGAGATCCTCCTTCGCTCAGCCAGGTCATTGAAACTGGGTCGTGGATGGGTAATCCAGCAGGATAATGACCCAAAACACACGGCCAAGGTAACAAAGGAATCAAGGCTCAAGAAGAAGCACATTAAGGTCTTGGAGTGGCCAAGCCAGTCTCCAGACCTTAATCCCATAGAAAATCTGTGGAGGGAGCTGAAGGTTCGAGTTGCCAGACGTCGTCCTCGAAACCTTAATGACTTAAGAGAAGATCTGCAAAGAGGAGTGGGACAACATCCCTCCTGAGATGTGTGCAAACCTGGTGGCCAACTACAAGAAACATCTGACCTCTGTGGTTTTTCCACCAAGTACTAAGTCATGTTTTGCAGAGGGGTCAAATACTTATTTCACTCATTAAAATGCAAATCAATTTATAACATTTATGACATGCGTTTTTCTGATTTTCTCTCACTGTTCAAATAAACCTACCACTAAAATTATAGACAGATAATTTCTTCGTCAGTGGGCAAATGTACAAAATCAGCAGGGGATCAAATATTTTTTCCCCCACTGTATGTAACTTTTTTCACATATATGCGATACAGAGTGTCGGTGGGCTACGAACACAATTTTTTACCTTGGGTTAAAACAAGGTGACTTCTATTTTATCTTGTCTCACACAACAAATGGGTGATTGCACAACAGAAGGAGCCTTCTGTTCACCTTCAAACCTTCAAGACCATTAATGCAGAAGTATAAATACAGCTTTTATCTTTATCTTATGTATTATTTATTTTATTTATATATACAAATTTGATAATAATGAATCATTCTTAAAAATGTGGACTCTATAAGCTGTCCAATGAAAACCATTATCGTTTTACCTAAGATGTCAGTGGAAAGATCTGCTCTGTCTCATGAGGTCAGATTGATTAAGCTTGTGTGTTTGTGCAACCTGGGAGTCAGGTTTTTGCATTGACAGTCCTGTCTTCACTCAGAGATGAAATGTGAGGAATGAACATCAATCTCTGGTGTTTAGAAGGATATAAATCTGCTGCAGACACACATACACACACCTTAATATGAAAAGTTAGCACATTCTAAGAAGAAGTCAGGGTACAACAAAGTGTATTTGTTGAACTCAGAGTGGAGTGACAATCGCAACAGAGATGGTGTGTCGAGTAGAAAGAAAGAGGAAAAAGAAATGTGCGCTGCCGAAAACCTAAGAATTAAGTAGAAAAATATGTTGGCACAAGAGGCAGCTAAATGTGCCATACAGGGCTGCCAACTATTCAATTTAGTTTGGAGTGAGATTCGGTTTTGGAGGTTGGTTAATTTTCGGACTTCTTTGTCATTTTCACCTTTTCAACATTTTCAACTTGATTCAAGTGTTTTTTTCGAATACTTCTTCAGTCTTCACATCCCGTGTACAGACCCTTTGGGGTTGTCTGAGACATTAGTAAATCAAGCAATCAATGAAAAAACACTAAGTGCAGCCTCCTTTTGACTTAAACAATCAAACCACGACGCTCTGCTTGTGCTTAAAAATCCAAGCTCAGTTTAATGACTTGTTTTTATATATATATATTTTTATATATATATATTTATAAATATATATAAATATATATATATATTTATATATTATTCCTACAAATACATGGTTTTCAGCACTTTGAAAAACGTTCACTTTCCTCAGTAAACCAAGAAAGCTAGAAATATCCTACAGTGAAAAAAAGAGACAGAGACAAACCATTTTGACAAAAAAAGAAAAAATCACAAAAAAGACATGAAAATAACAATCGAATGAAATTAAAAAACAACATCCTGTACAAACACTATGGCCCAATAATTTAAGAAAATAGTGTCTCTAAAACGTTCATATTGCTTTGTACCTCCACTGGCTGGGCAAAGCCCACCCTGCGCAACACCAGGCAGTTCAGATGGCAACCACAGAGGGCGCCAAATCCCAGGTGCTGATGTCACTCCAGAGGTTAAGGGGTCAAGCTGCAGCCAGTGGCATGCAGGCGTAGCAGAAGAGAAACAGTCTGGTTGTTGTTTCATTTGTTCTCTTCTTCTCTCGTTGTTTTGGCAGTAACAATACAAAGACAAGGGATGGTCACACTACCACAGTACTGCACTCCTTATGAAACCAAGGATGTTTTCACTGTTTGTTGTAGTTTTACCATTATTACTCTCTACAGCATTATTACTAGAACTATCACCATCACAGATCCACAGAGTGCATCGTGTGTTTGTGTGTGTGTGGAGGGTTCGTCCTGCTGTGTGCGTGTGTGTATCTGTGTGTTGGAGTATCAGTGTTCAGTGCTCAGGGCTTGTCTTCTCAAAGGAGAAACTGGGAAGAGTCAATAGTTTGGGGTTGTTGTTGGGGTTGGGCGAGCCTCCGTCCTGTCCCGAACCCTCTCCGACTCCCAGGTCAAAGGAGTCCTTGGAGTCACTAGAGGGCGCTCTCCTCCTCAGGCAGGTGTCCCGGCTTGGCAGAGGAGGGGGCATCCCTATTCCACCAGAACATGGGAAGAGGCCAGCCTGAGGCTCAAGTCCGTCAGGTGGGTCCACAGAGATGCAGGGCGGGCTCATCTTCTTCTTGCGTCGGGGTGAGGGCAGTGTGGTCTGAATGGGGGTCTGGCTGTGTATCTGCAGGCTATTGGCACGTGACACAAAGCCGGAGGAGGTGGAGGTGGTGCTGCGCTGTGGGCTGGACTCCACTGAGGGGCATACCTCTACAGAGTGGCGTCGTGGGTCATCCAACCAGGAGTAAGGGCGGAGACGGGGCGGGAGGGCGCTGCGGCCCTGCGTGTCAGCACTGTGGAACCTCTTCAGCTGCCTCAAACATGGACTTTGCCGGCAGCCTGCGTAGCTGCTGTAACCCTCGTTAACGCTATCGCCAGTGTCCTCCGCCACGATGTCATCACTGCCAGCCAACCCTGCACAGGTAATGAGGGACACTTCCTGATCCACAGAGGGTTCATCCTGTTGGTGCGGCCTAGCTGGTAATGGGGGAGGAGGCGAGGAGGAGGAAGGGTAGGAGGAGGCGAGGCAGTGCTGGTTGTGAAGCTGGGTGTGCACGCTGCTGGGTTTAGGGGAGGCGCCTGGTGCGGCGGGGACCAGGCAGAGAGCAGGCTGCTGATGATGATGATGGGAGCAGGGTGAGGGAGAGTTGGTGGGGGAGGAGGTGGAGGGGGATGGAGGGAGGCCCAGAGAGGCCACATTTAAAAGTCCTTCATTTCTCTCCCCTCCATCTGAACACAGGGCCTCCTGAGAATCAGTAGACACTGCAACCTGGAAAACGGGGTATGCAGAGGAAGGGGAGTTTGGGGGTTGGTGAAATATTTAGGAGAGAAGAGATGGAGGTAAATATGAGATGCGAGGAAGGGAGGATGAGAGGGGGAAACTAGTTAGAGCGAGGTGATGAAGATGATAAGCAGCAGTGTGGGTCAAAGTTCACAGTCTGGCCAGCGTATTCCCAGAGCCCTTTCTGTACTTCTCATTGTCAGCAGTGTGGGGTTCAATTGGAATTGCAACATTCTTCCATGAATTCGAACATAGGAACACAGAGGTTACACTGCATTACTCAATGGCAGAATTCCATATCGCAATTTGATAAGAATAAGTTGAGTAAACAACTTTTGACATTATTGGATGTGTTCTTTGCTTCTGCAGAGGCACAGCCAGTATTTTGTATTCAATTCTGATAAGAATAATTGTGAAAGCCCCCCTTCACTCCCAAATGATTATTATCATTACTTCACTTCTGTGTTTGAGCTTCTCTGCGTGTGCAGTTTGACACTCGAAGGCTGTTTTCACATTCATCTGCTGAAGGGGAAATATTTCTCTGTGCTCACCTGAAATCTGAGTTTAACACGTGTACGTGTGTACCCAGCAGGACTTTGTGACATCACAACAAGTTTGGAAGCCGATCCAGAATTGAAGTTACACAAGTGTGATGTGGAAACTTAAAACCCCCAGGACCTTTGAAGTGAGTGAAGTAGGAGACATCTTGTGTCCAGCAGTTAAACTACTGAAATGAAAAATATTTCCTTATTCATAGATTCTGTGTTTTTTTAAAGTGTTTTTTTAAAGAGGTAGAATGAATAGAAATTATTTAAATATTTTTAAACTATAAAACAAGTGAAAACCCATATCATACACAAAGACTTATAAGCAGAGTATTTTTATACTGTTTGTCCCCCCCATTTTTTGGTATATAAGGATTATGAATTTAATCAAAAACAACTTTGTTTTTGAAAATCCTTCACCTTGTTGGTATAAAATAAATTAAGCCTTTTTCCTGTTCCAATTCAGTACATCACAGAGAAAGTAGCAGGTACTGACATGAATGTTGTTCCAAGTAAGAAGCCCACATCTGCTGTTTTTCATTTGGCCCAGGGAAGTGTACTCTGAAGCTCAGCTGACTGGACGCCGGCTGACACAGTGAACTCTGAGCCAGACCGCCTGACCCTCTAACCTTTGACCGTTCACACAAAAGCCTGTAAACCGGCAGCAGCACAGTTTCCAGTTAAATTTATCAGCGTCCCCATGCCATCATCCTTACGTCTGAACAAAACTATGTACAGGGTGTGAGGCCAACAGTCAGAGGGTAAACAATAGGCAGCTACTGTAGGAGAGGAAGGGTTAATAAGCACAATGGTTGCAAAAACTCATAAAATGTCCTCATGAACTCATGACTTGTTCCTCATAGACCACACACTGAGGTGAAGAAATGAACAGTATTTTAAGTCCATTAAAATATCTTGAATGTACAGAGATGAGGAAACAAGGCATGCGTGAGTTTAAGGGCACAGCACTTTGAGAAATGTTTGGAATCATGGGTTTCCCTGCATGAGCCTGAACGGTGTAGCCACAGTGACACCTAGTGGTCGAAGATATCACAACCAGGCCAATCACCAGCCACAGCAATACAAAAAACAAGTACCAAATAATAAGAGTCTATACAGGAACCATACTAAAAAAAAAAAAATAGATCACCCTGTCAGACGTTTTTGAAGCAAAATCGGGTTAAGTGCAATAACTACTGTACTCTGGTGAACAACTACTTACGTTTCAAGCACTAACCAAGTAAATAGAAAATTCACAAGTGCTCTGTCACTGTGGTACTTTGAGTACAAAATGGCCAAATGCATATGGACAGCACTTGCCGCTCTGTAGCAATCCCCTGAGTTTTATAGTTTGTAGTAAGTGCACTGCATTGTGGGTAAATATCTCAGCCAAATAACATCTTGGTCTGGCTTGAATACATTCTATAACTCAGCTTCCGAATAATCCACTGATGCAATGTTACACCTAGCTTCTGCTGCTTGTATAAGAGTATAGAAGAATTATTAAATGTCCTATTAAGGTCTCCTACAAGCAAAGCTACCTGTTAGAGAATTTTAGATGCTTTGTGGCTGATGGTTAGCAGTGGACAAAACATTAAATGAGTGATAAAGGGGGGAAAGGAGGGAAGCCTGTGCGTGTGTTAGTCCGTCTGTCTCTTGGAAGATGAACATGTTTCTGAAAGGCCTAATGGTAGCTAACGTCTGCTGTTTGTCGCTGTTTCAGAAACAGGAGTATCTGTGTTTGAGCAGTAGCTCAGGGTCGGGCGGCTTTTGGGCCCAACTGAGCTGAGATCAGAGGATAACAGATACAATATGGAAAATGAGACAGCCGATAAGTTTGCAACAGGCCAAGAAGAAGAAAAAGGGGAGAAAAGGAGGAAGAAAAATGAAATTGTTTAGAACATGCGACGAGGAAAGAGATTTATGAAAATTACACACATTTTTGTGCGACAAGGTCTTAGAGCCACAATTGGGAGACAAGTCATATGCTACGAGAATAAAGTCTCACGATATTACAAGAATAAAGCATTGAAGACAAAAGTTGATGCGTAGAAAGTTCACTGACATTCATTAACTAACACATGTCCAATGATGCACACAAGTCATGGGATTTGTTTATCTGTTAAGAAAAGAAATCCATACATTTCCCGACAGCTATCAGACATTTGTCAAGCAAGTCGGCAAAAACATTGGTGCTGATGGCTTTATTGTCCTAAAACCTATGATATCATGGTGCTAACTGTGATATTTGTGAACTACACATACACAAAAAAAATTTTGAGTAGTAAACATCTATTTACTACTCATCACAGATAGAATAAAACTATACTAGCCATTATGTCAACAGTTGAGCACATACACTATGTGCTGGTGGTGTTGTGAGCTACGTCAGTAAAGTTAAATGCTCAGTTTAAAAGCAGATTGGCACATGGGTGGCAAGTGACAGATCATGGTAACACATTTTCAAATTTCACTTACGTTTAAGTGTGATTGGATTTTGAACGGAAGAGTTAACCTCAAATGCTGCTCCCACCTGTTAACCCACCATCCTTGGACAGAACTGCACTAGCTTTAGTATTATTACTTTTTTTTTTTTTTTACAAAATTTAGCATTTTTCACGTAACATTACAGCTTTATTTCTGAAATATTTATTTCTCTAAATATTATTTTATAATAACACCTTTATTCTTGTGGTGTATCGCAGCATTATCGTTCGGACACCACATTCTCATTAAAGTTTTCTTAGCATTATGCATTTTTTTCTCATAACGTTACAACTTTAATTTTAAACATGCCCAAATATGCCCTAAAACTCCTTTCAAGTCAAACGCAACACAACACCAATTCTTTACCCAAAGGTCTTAGGTTTTCACTTTAATCAGTAAAATCAGCCTCTGTAGTATTTGGTATGAATAAAAACTTCTACATCAGTGGGCCTGAATGTCACATGGCTGAGAACCACAGTCATAAAACACAGCTTTCATCACATACAGTACAGATACAGACAGGAGATTCAGAGTAAAGTGAAAATATAAAACAGAACGATTTAGTCACCTGTCTGCGAAGCGTACGGCTGAGTGTATGTGTGCGTCTGGGAGGGGGTAGTGGTGGTATACTCTCCGAGTCTGAGTGGCTGTGGGGGCTGATGGGTCTGAAGAGGTCTGTGGGAACGGTCAGCTGCTGGGAAACCTCGTCCGGTTGTGAACGCACCGAGCCAGTGGAGCCTGGGGGTAAGTAACAACGTTAACACTTACAGCCGGTTTGTACATTCACAGAGGTAGTGACCTGCATCTTCCTCGGCTGTTGACAGCCTGCATTAGAGCAGCAGCGATTAGTCTAATAATCGAGTACTTGTCAACTATTTAATTAATCGCCAGCTATTTTCATAATCGATTAATTGGTTTGAATAATTTTTTAAGAAAATAAGTTTTCTGATTCCAGTTTCTAAAATGTGAATATTTTATGGTTTCTAGACTCCTCTATGACTGGATATATTCAGGTTGTTGACAAAACAAGACATTTGAGGACTTAATCTTGGGCTTTGGGAAACACTGGTCAAAATGTTCGACAGATTAATTGCTAATGAAATGAATCGTTAGTTGCAGCCCTAACCTGCATTAGGTTAAAAATCAAGGCATCCCATTTTTTGCGGTGTCACAAATTCAACAAAAAATACAACTCCAATTCCATTGAAGTTGGGACGTTGCGTAAAACGTAAATACAAACAGAATACAATGATTTGCAAATCCTTTTCAACCTATGTTCAATTGAATACACCACAAAGACAAGATATTTAATGTTCAAACTGATAAAATTTATTGTTTTTTGCAAATATTCACTCACTTTGAATTTGATGCCTGCAACACGTTCCAAAAAGCTGGGACAGGGGTATGTTTACCACTGTGTTCCATCACCTTTCCTTTTGACAACACTCAATAAGCGTTTGGGAACTGAAGACACTTGTCAACAGTGTTTTTGAATTTATTCATTCAGCTGACGCTTTTTATCCAAAGCAACTTACAATTGCTATACATATCAGAGGTCGCAACTCTGAAGCAACTAGGGGTTAAGTGTCTTGCTCAGGGACAAAATGGTGGACGGGCATAGTGGGGGATTGAACCCAGGTCTCTCACACCGAAGGGATAGTCTGATCTGCACCATCACCACTCGCCACAATTGTTGAAGCTTTGTAGGTGGATTTCTTTCCCATTCTTGCTTGATATACAACTCAAGTTGCTCAATAGTTTCCGTTGTTGTATTTTGCACTTCATAATGCGCCACACATTTTCAATGGGAGACAGGTCCCGCACTCTTTTACTACGAAGCCACGCTGTTGTAACACGTGCAGAATGTGGCTTGGCATTGCTTTGCTGAAATAAACAAACATGTGCAAGTTACCCATGCCAAGGGCACTAACACACCCCCATAACATCATAGATGCTGGCTATTGAACTTTGCGCTGATGACAATCCGGATGGTCCTTTTCCTCTTTGGCCTGGAGGACATGACGTCCATAATTTCCAAAAACAATTTGAAATGTGGACTCGTCAGACCACAGCAAACAAACAGGTGTTTTTTTGAGCATTCCTCAACTTTCACAGTCTTTTTTTCCCCCTGTCCCAGCTTTTTTGGAACGTGTTGCAGGCATCAAATTCAAAGTGAGTGAATATTTGCAAAAAACAATAAAGTTTGAACATTAAATATCTTGTCTATGTGGTGTATTAAATTGAATATAGGTTGAAAAGGATTTGCAAATGAATGTATTCTGGTTTTACTTACGTTTTACACACGTCCCAACTTCATTGAAATTGGGGTTGTATATAATGTATCATACAGTACCTGATTGGGCCCTGTGGGTACCCAGTATGTACTGGGGCCCCTGTGCCTGTGCTTGAAGCTGTGCTGGAGCTGTGTCACCAAGGGGCTGCAGGGGGAGGAACATGTAGCTGTCATTGGGTAGGGAGTGTGTGCGTCCCACTGCGGGCTTCCTGACGCTCAGCAGGTTGTCCTCCAGTGGCTCCCCAGGATTGAGCTGCTCAGACTGGTGAAAGAGAGAAGAGAGTCAGGGTCCCTCTAGAGCTAGAAGGACTGGGGCGACTCAAGCACTTTCACACTCTTTTTAACACATTCATATTTGATATCCTTCTAATACACAATGTGAACAAAGAGGCAGTAGTCATCAGCATACACAGAAAACACACAGGATCTTTGCCTGTTGGAGTTGACTGGCACGGAGCTGCCACAGATCACAGAAACAAGACTGTGCTAGGCTGAAATTTCCAAGCGCTTTCTTTCTTTTTTAAGTGCAAGACACTCTGCGTATGGTGTCTGCATTTACCCCCGCAGTCGTGTGACTTTATGTCAGCCTGCTCCGTGATTGTGTGTCAGCTGGGGCAGTGTCCTGCAGCCTGACCCATCACAGAACCAGTTCACATTCATCACAGAGCTACTGGAGCTCCGACACACTTCACACCCCTCCGTAGCAAACACATGACAACTCAGAGAAGAGTGAAAGCCACAGTACAGACAACACTACTGACACATAAGAAGACCGATAGGAAAGGACTATGTGAAAAGACGTGGACTCACATATAAAGCACATAGGAAAAAGACAGAAAACTGAGGAGAAGAAGAAAGAGAGAAAAGGAGAAAAACACAAGGTTACAGAGAGAGAGAGAGAGAGAGAGTGAGAGAGAGGAGAAAGAAAAATAAAAGATAAGGTGAAGGAGAGAAAACTGCAACTGGCAGGTGAGGAGGCGCACTACTCTACTGGACTGGACTGGACTGGACTGGAGAGTAACACACATTAGGCTGGAAAGGTGGAATGAGAAAGAGAAGAGAAAGTTTGAGGGCCTAGGGTTAGATTCACCAGGGTCTTTCAACGCCTCTTGTACTCCTCTACCCCCCCCACCACTTCTTTGTATTTGTCCCAGCACAATCCATTTAACAGTGATTTCATGTCTTGTGTTGGCCGGGGTTCTCCGTTATTGAGACTGATGATATGTAAATCGATCCCAATGCATTGCTGGTCTGGATGTGTGCAACACGGGCCAAGGTTACAGTGACCCTCTCTGGGGAAGATATGTGACTACAGTAAAGTGATATGATCATTAATGAACCAAACAGGCTGTTAATTAAACCCTGACAACCAGATGACATTCGATTCTTTTTCAGTTCAAAGGGAAGATGTCATTTCCCTTACTGACAGATCCCTCTGGGACAGGTTACCATAGAGAAGCGTACAGATGAATTCTGGTGAGGATGCATGCATAAGCCTGAATGCTTGACAGCATGTCCTGTATGTATGTAGAAAATCAGTGGTGTTCCTTTCAGCAAGTCCATTATTTTCCAAATCAAGACAAGTTTGGAGTGCGTTCTTGTGCTTATATCAAAAGAAATCAACACTTAACGCAGCTGGCTCGATCACTTTTCCATGGGGCATAAATGAAATATTGCAATTGTGTGTGCACTGATTTATAATGGCAGTTAGACTGTAGACCATTAACTACAGTGTCCCGATAAATTATTTTAACTCACACATGCTAGGCAATTAGACATGTATTCAGAACGTATATAAAGTATTTTGGGTAACACCTTGTTTTATAGGTCTGTCATTTCCTGGTAATTTCCTTGAAAGTTTCCTAGAAAGGATGATGTAATTTGGGACTAATTATAGAGAAAATAGAAACAAAGTTTAGTCAGTTGTGTTTTAGTAAGCAGAAAAGGGCTCCATATGAAAGAAAATATTCATTCAATAGCTCATTTATTATTGGACACTTTATCCTCTATATATGTTGAACTGTATGCTTCCTTTAAGACACATTTTTCATTTACGCTGACTCCTAATGTTTTTGCAAGCAATTATTAAAATAATTTATTGTGAAGTGTATCAACACAAACACCGTCTCCATTGTCCCTTTAAGTAATTACAAATTACATAGTTGTTTCAAGGAACTTTCCTATGAATTTACATATCTATATATTTATATCGATATATAAGAAATTACAGGAAAACTACTGGACCTGTATAATAAAGTGTTAATGTATTTTTGTGGTATAAAACAATTAATCATATGTGGCCTCATGCATTGTTAAAAATGAGCCCCTATGTTTAGAATTTGTAGATATCTGACTTTAGTGCCCACCAGTGGTAGTATTAAAAACACACATATATTTATCAGGACTGTTATTTCTAAACACAAGAAAGTATGCCATTAGAATAATGTGAAAATGCCAATAATCACATAGAACCATCACTAGATTTCTGCAGAACTTGTTAGCAAACAACTGCCTATTACATATCCAGTAGATGTGGAGCAACATTAGTAATCATTTAGAGTTTTTGTGTTCACCTGGTGATAAGAAGTCAAATTCTCACTCGTTGGCCCCCCTTTAAACGCTAAATGCTCTATGTTAAGCTAATTGTTAACTTTGTCTCGCTGCTGGCTGGTGCTGAGCAAGTTGTGTACAGTCAGTTTTTAGTGGGGTTTTGCTGAAAACAGCTGCCTTCTGTGGCTGAAGACAAGCAGGATCTGTTGAAAGTGAATCAAAACAGTGATGTTGCAGGTCAGAAAACCAAAATACTGAGCTTAAAAAAGCTCTTTAGAGCTGAGCAGATTTACAGTCGCAATAGTTCTCAGTGGGTGCACCAACAGGTAGTCATGTGATCCGTTATTAATATTTTTAGAAAAAGCTTCTTTAAATGGTTTTGTTTGTGCTGGGATTACATGTGAGCTACAAATGTGCTGTTTAGCTAATTTAGCATCCAGGTGGTTTCCCTCTGTCAAGCTAAATCTGTTATACCCTGGTGTGCGTGTGAGAGTAGTGAGGGTACAAGTGGCTTTGGAAGTGCCTTGGGAAAGGAAACACTACAAGATACTGCAGAGGGGAAGAGGAGGAAGAGGGATGGAGAAAGAGAAAGAGAGGAACTGTCAGTACATTGCATTCCAGACTGGTTAGAAAGAGGGGGTTAAAATCGTCGGGGGCCGAGTCGTCTGTCAGAGCTAGGGACCAGGATTTCTCAGAGGCCAGAGACAGAGCTTCCATCTCCGCTAGAGGGATCTAGGCAGGAAGAGACAACGGTTGGTGAGCAGAGAAAACAAATGCACATAAATAAGGACGCTACACACAGATAAGACATGTAGCTAACAGGAAAATACATGTTTGAAACAACATATCCAATGCTGGAAGTATGTGGCAGAGCGAAGCAACAAGGAAAAAAGACTAAGCAACACTTTTCTAACTGCATTGCAATTATTGTAGTATGGGGTTACCAACAGCAATATTATGACACAATCCAGACACACATACACACACACACACCAAAATGTACAGCCTGACAATTCTGACAGATAAAGTGTTTAAAGTGGTGTAATGAGACAGTCACACTCTCAAACAAGCAGACAGGAAGGGGATTCATTTATATCCTATGTATTGTAATGTAAACTAAATTTACCATTTTCTGATGCTTAATCCAAACAACTAAGTGCCTACACAGCTAAATTAGCTGAGATGCTAGCTAGTCCAACTCACATGAGTGAAACTTAGCGCTCTGCAGAGTTTGGCTTCAGTGTTGCTGTGTTTAGAAGCCTTGAGCATTTCTGGCTTCTTTAAGAGAAGCTGCTGTATATTTGACCTTCTACCTGCTTAACAGTGGAACTGCTTGCTGACAGGCAGATGGGCCATCCGAGCAGAGAGGCTCGTGGACCCTCGGCGAAACTCAATGGAAAACATTTCTGCTTACGTATCAGAAGGAGAGAGGTGGCCTATGGTGTCTAATAATGACATCCCAAACGCATTTAAAGCTTTTAGTAGATGGGATTTTGCAATGCTAATGTAATTGGCCAAAATTTGCTTTTAAATGAGGGAAAGAGGCACCCACATGTATTATTCAGTGACTCAGTGATCCATAGCCTATTGATTGAACCATTACTCTGCAGACTTGTGTGTTAGAGTGTGACCTGCTGGCTTCAGGAATGTCTTTGGTGGGTTATCAGTCCTCTGTGAGTAGGGTTTCGCACATATAAACACACAAACATGCTGCACGTACAAACAGACACAAATACACACAAAGTTGTACAGGAGAGACAGAGCAAACTCTAAACCATGTCACTGAGGCTGCTGAACCACACCAAAAACCTGCCAAGCATGGCTGAATATAAGTGAGTGGAGACATGAGCAAGGGAATGAGATCATAGCTGAGGAGGGATATGACGCACTGCACTGTGGTGGGCAACAGAGGCTGGTTAGAACGGGGAAAAAATATTCAATGTGGAGGAATGCCAGTGCAAACATGGTAATGGCTGCAGAGCTGCATGATATGTGCAAAACATCACATTAGCATGCTTCGTCATGAATCGAATGAAATGAAGTCCTATTGACGGTGAGCACTAAATTCCTGCATAACTGTCTTTTACTTTGTAGGCCAGGGATTCTGTACTCTGCATACTTTATCCATCTTTAAGTAATTTAGTCTGGTTTTGAGTCATAAAAATTCATATTCATTAAAACAAGTGGTGAGATAATTTCACCTGTTTTCAATAAAAATCTATAGTTTCAAAAGTCAACCAAGCTCATCTCCATACTAGTTGAGTGATCGGCTTCATTTAAAAGGTCAGTTCACCCAAATTAAAAAAACAACAACAATATATTTTCTGAATTAACTCTGGTACAGTGGCTCCAAACTTTTTTTGATTGTGACCCTGACACAGTCAGATCTACTTGCGACCCCTTATTGTACGTCTATGACATGAAAAATCTAAAATTTGCCCTTACTTTTAAAAGGTCTGAATAGGTTTCTAAGCAGATTAGAGAAGACGTCTGTAAACATAATTTTGAATAGCAGAATTCCGATGTTAATTGTTTCTTATGCTGGTAGTATGACCTTTTAGAATCATCTGGTTACCTCCTGTTGGGCACCAGCAGCATTGGATATATTGGTCCGCAAAACACACCAATGTTATTTACAATATGTTAAAGCAAGATACATATTTTCAACATGGCCACTAGTATTCTGCACCCCGCCCCCTTTCTCTATCTTGTTTCCTCCTTCTTCCTCTCTGTAGGTTTATAATCAAAACTTTCTTGTTAGCGAAATTTCCAGTTCAAAACAAGACTGACTTAGTTTAATGGAGGGCAGTACAATTGTGTTTGTGCTGCTCACAACACTGGAAAGTTAATTTTAAAACAACATAATCAGTGTTCCCACAGAACACCCTGTAGAACGTTTTCATAAGGACTATTTCTTTGGTTGAAAGTTGTTCCAGTGAGGACTGTGAATTAACAGGAGTGAACAGGACATTCTGAAAGGACATGCTGCTGTTAAATTTTTATTTTTATGTATCATTACTAAATGCTGTGAGCACAACGACAACCGCAAACAATATTCCATTAACCTTATTGCACTGAGTTGGAGGCATAAATCTCAAAGACCAATATCTCAAAACTACTGGGCTAAACTGTTTGCATGGCTGGATTCCACTTACTGAGAAAATGGAATGTTTTGTTATTCAGGTGAACCAACCCTTTAAAGGCATTATTGCTTGTTTTAAGAAAGCCCGATAAAGGAAAGCAAGACTATCTGCAACCATTCTGGATTTTGTTTTTGATGGTCAAAAATTACAGCAGCAACTTTGTGATTAGTTTTCTCATGATTACTTGTGCGGCCCTACATGCTGGAGAGAAATAAGACCTATTGGACGTATGAAATGGAGGAGGTGAGTCATCATTCTGGTAATTATTGACCTTCTTGTCGGTGCTGTGCTTGCTGGGCTTGGGGGGCAGCGCGTAGAAGTGGCAGATAAAGCCAGACAGGTTGTCCATCAAACTCAACTCTCCCTCCATTGAGCCCTGGATGACCAGGGAGACCGAGTCAAACTGCGCTCTCCGCTGGACAAACTTAGATAATGAAGAGAGAAAAGACAGACCAGAGAGAGAAACAGAGAGAAAGAAAAGAGGCAGAAGTTGTTGAAAAACAGACAGGGACAGGGGAAGAGGAAGGACAGAAGTCAAGACAAAAACACATGGACAAATGTGGAAAGAAAGAAAGGGAAGGAAAAAGACAGTTCATCAGGTAGAAACAAACAGATATACAAACAGAAACAAGACAAAAAAACACACATCTAAGTACAAGAGCTAGATGATCTATCAAACTTAGCCTGGAGCGTTTTACTAAATAATTTAAAACTTTCATGCAGTGCACATTAACCGAATATACACAACCTCCTCCCAACAAACATCCACCACAGGCTCTCGTGTGTTACAACTTAATTCCACAAGGGGGCACTACAACACCGCGAGAAAAGCTGGTGTCCCACAGGGCTCCAGAACAGATTGTGGCTTAACCACACATGTTTTGGAAGAGCGGCGGAGGAAGACGGATAACATCTTAGAGGGGAAACATAACGATAGCGAGACCTCTATTTCCTATCCCCAGAAAGTTCCCCGCTGTCTGGAAATAGCTGTTGAAGTGAACAACAAGGCCCTGTGGTCCAGCTTTCCCATGGCACTGTGACCTATCCATGACTGGCACGTCCTCTACAGGGACCAGCTACACACACACACAGTCAGACACGCACACAAACTGTAAACCATCCTGATATGGGTCAGTATACAGAATAATACATTTGCATATCTAGTATATTTTCTGAATACATTATTGACTTGGCATAAACCAAAACAATGCAGTCTCTTTTAAACAAGTGTCTAATTTGTGAAGAGAATATGTCAATATTGAAATAACAGTCACTTCTATGTGTTGTACATGTGTGGTAGAAACATTTTTATAGAGAATACAGTATTTAAGTGTATCTTGACCCACAAGCTTATCTCAAAAGTTATACTTACCCTTGTGAATGTATCCACTTATATTTTAACAATGAGAACGTGTAATGAATACATCCCAATATGGCCATATCCGCTATAGTTTGTTTACGTATGGACTACAGTTATGACACGGAGACAGGGAAGAGACATTCTTCCCAAGAAATCTATTATTTCAGAGACCATTCAGCATGCTCAGCGTCCCTCAGCACGGTCAACAGAATTAACTGATCGGGCTGGAGTCAGAACTAATGAGCAGAGAAGTGGGGGTCATCTGACTGGTCGCACAGCCTGGCCCCCAGCAGGAAGTGACCTAGTGGACATCTGTCTAGTCGTATGGTCGGACCAGCGAGAATCGAACATACTGGCCTAGAAGTAATCTGAATGTGTCGCACTTTTACTCAAGGATGTCGCAAAAGTGTTAATGGAACTAAACAAGCTACAATTGGGATCTACATAGGAGATGTTTTTTTTTTTAGTATTCTGTTTTTTTCTCAGTGTTTTTCAGTAAAATCCATTGTTTGTCATTAATCACAAATATGTGTTTTGAAAACATGTTAATGAGGCTGATATGGGAACCATGGTGAATAATGCGATCAAAATTACAATAACACTCACACATATACACAACATTCAAGCGACACAAAAACAGATTTATCACCTCCAGTGGGGGCTCCGGGCATGAAGGGGGTTCTGCTCTGATGTTTACAGAGTCTCTGGTTATATCAGCAGTGGGTGAGTCCATAGGACCGTCCCTTTCCTGCTCCCTGTCCCCTCCTCCAGTGGATCTCCAGGGGGAACCCCCCGAACTTGACCTGTCCATGCCCAATGCCAGGGGGTTGAGCTGGGGTGACCTTGCCGCCATATCTCCCGCTTCTGCCAGGAGCCTGTTCTCCAGTTCCAACTCCACCTCCATCTCCGCCTCCTCCTTGGCTTCCTTGTTGCTCTCCTCTAGGTGCTTCATCAGGACGGCAATGACAACGTTGACCAGGACAAACTGAGCGGTCAAAACGAAGGAGACGAAGTAGATGGGCGAGACCACAGTGTTGTAGCAGGTGGTGCTGCTGCCACAGTCCCTCAGCGTGTCCTGGAAGAAGCATCAAAACATGATATGAGCACTGGTATTTGGATTATTCTGCAAAACCTAGTCAGTCAGTCAGTCATGAAACATCTCAACAACTACTGGAAGGATTGCCAATAAATGTGGTACAGACATTCAAGGTCCCAAGAGGATATAGTCCAATCACTTCGGTGAGGCTCTGACTTTTCATCTGGCACCATTTGATGTTTAGTGAAATGTCTGAACAACTATGAGAATGACATTTATGTTGCCCAAAGGAAAAAAAGCCTGCTGACTTTGGTGATCAGCAGGTCAAAGCTTTCTCTTATCCAGTCAAATATATCATGTTCATGCGACAGAAAGTTATGTGACATGAAGTCTGGTCTCCGGTGTGAAAGTCAGATGCACAACTTTGCTCATCCATCAGCACGACCTCCGCACTCTTCTGCCTCATTACATAAACGTTGGCACTGGACTTAAGTGTGTTGCATAATTGTCCAATATAAAAGTGATTTCTAGGGTTACTGGCGTGAAATAGAACATAGAGACAAGACATACAACTATATCTAAGTGCTTGAAAATTAGGTAACTGGCAACTTACTTTCTTAGCAAATCTAGTACTAATAGAATATAAAAACGACCAACTATTATTTGGCCCTGGGCGAAAAAGAATCAGCAAGTGGGGATGACCCAGGAGGTAAATTGGTCGTCTGGAATCGGTTCCTGGGTTTGAGTGTGGAAGCAACCTCTAACCCTTCCTGATGAGCAGGTTAACACATTGTAACAACAACAAACACAGTCCATTTCCAGTTTAAATTTGTAGTCATCTGTAAAAAGGGAGAAGGCTGCCCACATAGATGACATACCAACACATCACCACTAACTGTGATAACTCGTGTTCCTCTGAATGTTCTGTGCATACACGTTAAGATTGAACGTGCGATCTGTGCATGTACTGTACGTCTTCAGGATCCCGAACTGTAGTGTGTGCAGTTTCACCTTCATTATGCCATTCCAGTTGTCTCCAGTGGAAACTCTGAAGAGCAGCAGAAATGCCATCCCAAAGTTTCTGAATGTAGCATAGCGCCCCAGACCTTCACATGGGTGGAGCTCATCACAAACTGGGGACACAAGGAGGAGCAGCGAGGCGATGGAGAAGGAGAGGAATAGTCAGACAGTAAAAGACAGACATGAATATTTGGAAAATAGTAACTTTCATGGCTTTTCAGGTCGGTTCATCCACAACATAGGGCTTCACAATGAAACTGTAACACTGCTGTATTACACAAAAGCTACTAGCTTCAGTTAGACAAAAAGTAGAGACATCAATATGGTATTTCAACAAAGGGTCTTAGAAAGCAATTAACATCAGACAGATTAAACCCACAGAGGGGGACCCTAAACTCGGAGCGTGCCTGTGCATGGCCTGAGTGGTATGTATGTCCGCGAATCTTTGTTTGCGCTTTGTCTGGTTTGCCTGACTGCCTGTATGCATGATGCATGTGTCCTTACTCAAGTCACCAAACAGCTCCACTCCCAGCGCTGCAAAGATAAAGAAGAGAAGCATGAAGAGAAGACCCAGATTCCCCACCTGCAGAGAGACAACAGGAAGAGAGAGGGATTAGTCAGAAGAGAGAAATCCCTGGCAAAATAAACCAACAACGAGGGACAACAAACAGCTCATTCCAAAATGTAAGATCGTGATGAAGCAACCAGGGGTAAATATAAGCTATGGCAGTTGACCATTTGCTAAGCCCCACCACCGTACAGTGACCGTCCAATCATAGATTAGCAAATGGATCTGTTGTTTTTAACCTTTCCAAAACCAGAAAAACAATTGTATATTAATAGATTGATATAAGTGATAACAGATAATATATTTCCAGGTCTTCTATATGGATCATCAACTGGTGAGGATGCTGACTTTTCCTGGGACATGCAGCATTGTTTAGCACGGTAGCCATCAATTGCAAATTTAACCTCTGAGCAGGGTTTGCGTTTTAATGGTCAGCTGGAAACATTTAAAAGTCGGTGGAGAGGGAGAGGATGTTTTCCATCAACTCTTTATGCTAACATTAGCTTTATTACCTAGCTAGCTAGCTAGCTACAGCTGATAAACCTTTGCTTGGATTGGGACTGTTATCCTGGATAAGAGTGAAAAATAACAGGGGATAACAGTGAGCTTTGATACAGAGGTTGGTTTAGGTTATGGAACGCTTGAGGTTTTCAAAGGTTTGCTCCTGCTGCTACTGTCCATGCTAATCAGCATGCGGCTGCTCACACCCCCACCTCCGCCTATTACCAAATTTATTAATTATGAATGCTTCCAACAAAGCTCTAGGAGGAATTAGCCTGGAACAATGCTCAACCCACTCTGAATGACAGAGGTAGTATCAAAGAATGCTGTGAACATAAGACTAAGAGTAATAAGAGTGTTATTTTTTCTCTCAATCCAAACACTGCAGAAGTTGTTCTGATTTAACAACTCCACCACCCTCAAATCCACCCACCACCGTTCAAAACTAAACCTCAAGCTATATTCACTCCCCAATCTCTGCAGGGCGCTGGTTATGCAAATAAGGGTCTCTAGAGTTTGCAAAAGGCTCATGGGAAACAACAGTGCCCTGAAACAGAAGTACCAAAAATGAAATGCCTCTGGTAGGTAATTTTAGGGACAGCTTCTGTGGGACGTGTGAGGAAGTAAAAGATCCATGGAGAGAAATACAGATGAGGAAAGAAAGGAGGATTCAGTGGCTTCAGTGGGTGTTATTGAGTTGAGTTGACTGTGTACCTGAGGCAGGGCTTGCATAACGGTGTCCAACAAAGCTCTCATCCCCACTGCCATCTTCAAGAGCTTCAATACTGTGGGGACACACAGAAAAATTAACAAGTGTTTTATCAATATTAAGATTGTTCAGTCTTACATAACAGAACAGGGACTTGTGCCATCGCCTGCCACAGATTAATCCTGCTCTGTTAGTGTAGGCACAGATGTCCTTTTATTGAATAACATTAAGCTTTCAGATGGAGGTCACATCTTCCTGATTGGGGTTGCAGCTTGATTCAGGTCACTGGTATGGTGTTGGGGTACCATAGGAAGTACACCAAGACTGATATATAATGCATAATAAAGAATGGAATAGCAGTTTTTTCTTGTCCTTGGCCAGTGACAATGGTTTGTGATGAGTGATGAGAAAACGTCAGCGAGTCACTGGCATAATCCAAGAAATGGTTCCAAAAAGTAACTCCCTGTAAAACTGCAAATAGTCATTTTAATGTTTCCGTTTCTTGTGTAGGTTAAACAAATGAGATATAACATGTTATTTTGCAACATTTACAGGTGCTGGTAGGTAGATTTTAGAGACTCTTTAGCTGTTCCCCCCTGCTTCGAGTCTTTATGCTAAGCTAAGCAAACTGGCTGTTGGCTTTACCCTTGTATTTACCATACAGGCACATACAGGGTGGTATTGAGCCTCTCATAAAACTATCAAACTATTCCTATATAAGTATGTGCAATATTAGTGAGTATGATTGAGTATGAAAATGTAGCATGCAAATATATGAATATGATTACAATATACAGACCATGAATCTATATATGTATGAATCTTATGGTCCCGTAAGTGTTTGCATTTACTCTGAACATCCCCATGGAAACGCTCTGGTATGGGGGCAGATTGTAAACAATAGCAAAAGACAAAGCAACTTGAGCGGCAGCCCTTAAAAAAGGCCCCTGAAAAATGGCTACTGCCGATCACAGCAAGTGAGTAACTAAATCAGTACAATAAAGTCACCACAATTTTCTCAGCTTTCCTGCCTCTCTGCCCACCTCATCAGATCAAGCTGCACTTCTCTCCACAGCTAACAGGCCTTCTGAGTTGTCGTAGTCGAAAAGACTCAATCAAATTAATGATGGTTCTTTTCTAAGTAAGCTTGCACAATAATAGGACCCTGAACCCAAAGCTGCTAAACTGCATTCAGCCATCATTAATTTGATTATTCACACTGATGCTCTTTCTACTGACACATGCCAGTATGTTTTCTATAAAAAAGGCCTATAGTTGATATCAGTTTGCACCCTGAATAGACCTGTCCTCAGGACTTTGTGTGCATGGACAAACTGGGCTTGATTGACATCTCCCTAACTTTCCAATTAGGGCAGATGTGTTGCGCCTTTTAAGGTTTAGTCAGACTGGATTTCAGGCTTTTTTTATTGCAAAAGAGCTAAATTGGACAGTGACAATGTATAAGGGACACGATACATATTGAATTTTACTGTCTTAAAAATATGCGCTAACAGCATGTAAGTACTAACAATCCAGAAACAGCTATTGCTAGGCAGCTTAAATGGAATCAAAATTTAAACAACGGAAGCATGAAAATAAGATGTGACTTGTACTGTAGTATTGGCGAGGATGATGAAATGTGAATACAATGCCGGCGTGTAACTAAATCATATCTACGAACCGTCTGAAGATGACACGTATGTTGATGCCAGATAGAAAAATGATCCACTATTGTACCCGCCCAAATCACAAACAAACACGCATTACGCACAAGAGCGTGCGTGTGTGTGCGCCCGGTGTTCCGTGTGACAGTAATCAATACCGACTTCCATGCTACTTCTTTTATTACACATTCAGTAATCAGACAAAACAGATGAGCTCCCCTCCTGCCTGGCTTATCTCCTCTTTCTCCTCCTTTTTCCTCCCGTCCAGCCTTTCTCTTATCTTTAATTACCTGGACAAGTAATCAGCCTGAAGCACACGGGCAGTTTAACTTTCCCCCTACCTCTTCTTCCCTCCTGCCAAATCCATCCCATCTCTTTAACTTGACCTTCCCCCTCCACCCAGTTTTCTCTCCCCAGATACGCTGTATGCTCGCTGTCTCTCTCGCACACTGACATACCTTTCCCCCATTCATTTATCTCTCATCCTCCCATTCACTTCATCTCAACGTTTTTCCCTCTTCAACATCAACTGCATCTCTTTCTGACTTCTTTCCATCTTCTTATAATCTATTTTCAGGTCAGAAGTTATTCAGCATCCCTGCCTCCTCCTTTTATTTCTCCAGTCATCCCTCTCATCTCACATTCATTCCCTCCATACCCAGTCTCAGTTTCCCCCAGCTTAATTCACTTACTGTCATAATCTGTCTTGGCGCTCCCCCAAACTCAGCTATCTTTCCTCACCTCTCTCCTTTCTCAGTCTTTGTCTCTTTAGTTTCTCTCTCTCTCTCTCTCTACTCCTTCCCAGTGCTGTGTTTGTCAGCTGACTGTGTTTCTCCGTGCCATCTGGTCGACTCACACCCTGCCCGAACCCTGCTGAGACCTACCATTCAAAAATGACAGGGACGTGGCTGTTTTACAAGGCGTCTTAAAAGTACAGCACCGTGAAAGAGACCAGAGTGTGTACGCGTCTGTTAGAGTGTGTGTCAGGTTGTGTCGGGCTGGGGCGGGGGGGGGCGGATGGGCAGGGGGTTCATACCTCGTGCGATCCTCAGCACTCTCATGATGCGGATGATGGTGGGGTTGATGGGCAGAGAAGCATTGCCATCAATCTCCTCCAGAGTGATGCCCATGATGGACAACAGCACGATGGCCAGATCCAGCTGGTTCCACCTACACACACACACACACACACACACACACACACACACACACACACACACACACATACGTCAGTGCCTTAGACAAAATAAGATAATTTCCTTATACGTACAAATTTTAACTCTTAAGACTCTGCATCTGTGTACATTTTTCATATTAGGGAAGTTGCTGTTGAATAAATTATAAATTAAATATAGCCAGTTTTCAATTTAAATAAATATTTTTGGGTTAAGAATAAGATTTGAAGATAAACACCACAGCCAGTAGAGTTTAGCTGAGCATTAAAGCATCTCTAAAGCTCACTAATTAACACTTTATACCTACTTGGTTTAATCTGTACAAAAACCTAAATGTAACATCATAAGTTGTGATTTTAGAGGGAGTTATGTGCCAGACTGTTTCTTGGTGACTTCACAGTAGTGACTTCCTAGAGTCTGTGCTGGTTGCCTGGCAACATCACGGTGACAAGATATAATGTGTTAATTAGTGACATAGAGGTGCTGGTTGTTGCCCGGTTGGTGATTTTTGTTACCTTGGAAAAGAGCCAGAGTAGCTAGCTAACTGCTGACTAGCTCTGGTGTCATATTTTGGTAGCGACGTGAGAGTGGCATTCATCTTCTGTTATGATCAGAAATCTTTAAATGCATTTCCCAAAATTTGGAAGTAGTATGTGCAATATCAGTGTGAAAATGCTGCATGTAAGTTTTTGTGGCTTTATTTCGTTTTTATTGACAAAAGTAATATATTTGTACAACATATCAGGCTTTTGCCAGGGATAGAACCATGAGCTCATGTGTTAATCAGGTTTCTTCACAGTCCTGTTGATTTGCCATGCTCATTCAGAGCTGCAAACTGTGCATTCAGCTACACAGATGCTTTTGGTGAAGCTACGACTGTTTGAAACAAACTGATCATATGGATGGACAGTGGAGACGTGCTGCAGGAGTGACTTGACTAGTTGTTACGGACATTTTGAAACATGCTTCTGCTCTGAAAATCAGTCCCTGACAGGAATTCAAGCAGCCGACAGATGCAGTGCTTTGTGAAGGGGCGAACTACACACTTTTGTACAACCTTTCAAGCTTTCAAGAAGATATACTTTGTGGGAAGTATCACTTTACCGGTCCAGAGATGACAGGATAAAGCCCAAACTCTAGTCGTACACAATTAACTAATCACATAAACTTTAGATTTAGAGACTGATCGTTTTCTGGATGCATGGGAGTGTGCAGACTATTTTAAGTGTTATGAGGCAGACCTAACAACAATGGTGTCATTTCATTTTAGTGTGCCATAAGGATAGATGTGATGCACTCAGATCAGGAGTCAGCAGGCTACTTTCTTTCCCATATACTGTGACTTGATCTGAGATCAAAGTGTCGGGACCAAATCTAATTTTCCAGCCCCTGTGCAATAAATGTGCTCTGAACAAAATGTTTGGAACAAAATGAGCGTGTAAAAAAGTCTGCGAAGAAAGTGGTGGGTGGTCGTACTAATCAGGTTTGTCAATTTCCATCGTTTCCTTTCCGTGAACAGGTTTCTTTCTCTCTATCTCTGAGTCCACCGTGCAGTTTATCCCTCATGTTCTCATTTATACTGTCAATAAATCAACACAAGAAAATCGACTAAAAATTCAATGAGATTTTTGATCTAGGGGTCTTGGGCCAAATGCTGTGTGTGTAGTGCGGTAATATTAAACTGGACCACAGCCAAATGCAAAAAGGATAATGGACATCTTGGAGTCCTTGATGGTCAGCTCTGGTCCAACAACACAATGCCTCCACTGTGTGTGTGTGTTAGTGTGTGTATTCATGTATATGGGATGTGTGGCGGTTTGTGCTGTTGTGCTTGTGCATTATTGTGCGGTTTTCAGTGGAAAGCCAGGGATTTCAAAGCTATGAAATCATCTGAGGCAGCGTGTTTTATGGGTGTTTAATGAGGCCGTTTGTATTCATACAGGCCTCACTGAGAACCATCCACTGGAGCACCTTAGAAAAAGCTCATTTAAGCTCTCCGAAAGCTGCCTCAGATTTTCCACATGACTCAAAGGTGAAAGAACAGTACCTTTAACCACCAATTTAGTAGAATATCTTCTCTACTACAATGTCTAAAACCTACACTGGGAGGTATGTTTATTCAGGATTTCTGTCTCATGTGTGTCCGATATGTTTGGGAAAGGTCATTACGTCGCTTTGGGGAGCGTGGCAGTTTTTAAAATACTGACTTGTCCTTGAAGAAGCGTCGGAAGCCGAAGGCCACCAGCTTGAAGACAGACTCCAGAACAAAGATGAGGGTGAAGATGTAGTTACAGATCTTCAGTGCCTCTTCCAACTTCTGAGAATGCCAGGGAGAGGAATATTAAAGATTAATAAACTGCACAAGTATCCATCTCAACAAGTCAGTAAACGCAGCATTACATTTTCGTTAATCTTAGCAGAATGAGCTGTGGGTTTGGTTGCCACTTATTTAATGAACTGTGCTGAAACTGCATTGAAAACCAATGAAATGATGTCAAACACACACACACACACACACACACACACACGTTTCTACTTTTAGAGTCTTGAAATGCCAAAATGGTCCATAATATAAACTCTGTCCTATTCTCCAAAATTAGCCATTCCATTAATAGATCACTCACTTCACCCTCCACGCCTCCCTCCCTTATTCTCTATGAAAAGGCCATTAGAATCAAAGTGTCCATTTTTGCCCGTGGGAGAATTCACAGTGCCCATCTGCATGTAAAAACTGACCTTTAGCTGTAAGGCGGGGAGAAAACTGGTGGTCAACAGGGATTTCGGTGGTGGCAATTCATCTACTCACAGCTAGTTTCAGTTTGTGATTACTGTTTACCATGTCTTATAAGGAGGGGTTGTCCTATAACCCCTCCTTGTATTCTTCTTTTTCTTCTGCTCATTTATGCTGCATCTCTTTGTCTCTTTTACTCTTGTGGAATCTTGCTAAACACAATCCCTGTCTCTACGACATCTTTTCTTCTAACTCCACCTCGGGGTGCTGATCATGCGCCCTGGCCAACAATATGTTAAAGCGATAAAAATATTTTATAAAATGAGTGAGAAATAGGATACTTATCCGTATACATATAATTTGTGTTACTTTTCAGGTGTACCAGATGGGTGAAATTTGCAGTACCCCTTTAAACCCCTTTAATATGTACTTCTCTCTTTTATTGTAATAATCTCATATTTAACATCTTTCACTTCTTTTTCTTAAGTTAACTTTATTGTCCCCAAGGGGAAATTCTGCTTGGGCACAGTGCAGTGTTGCCTCACAAAAAACATCACAAAAGACATCAAAAAGAACTTGAGAAGCACTGACATATTGTACTTCACAAGAGGAAAATATAAACACAGAAGAAAAAGGACATTGTTGACAACATAGTTCCATGGATTTAAGTGCAAGTGCTAGTGTGGTTGTTGCACATTGCTCCATTGAACTGAAGTTTGTGTAAAGTGCCGAGATCACAATTAAAGTGCTGAAGTGCTCACATATTTATTGCACACAGCACTATTTTACATTGTTCAACAGCTTAATGGAGGCTGGCACAAATGATAATTTTAGGCAATTTGCATTTTGGTAAAGCCATAAACCTAGTGTTCCAGGGAGGTTAAAATTAAAACTAATATTCCATGACATTTCTTAAGGCCAGTGTAGATATTTATCAGAACAAAGCCTTTAATAGCCAATATTCCGTGCCAATATTTATTACTTTTTAAGCTTGAAATATATTCATGCCAAGAAAATGCCAGAAATTAGTATTTTCTCCTGAATTTGATTTGTGGCAGGAAAATGCTAGACTTTAAGACACTTAAATTGCACTGTAACACAGGATGGAATCAGTTAAATTATTTTCAGTCAGTGCAGGAATGACCCATTATGCAAACAAACTACACTGCATCCATCGTACCATATGTAGTCACAAAGTGACCACTAAGATAGACTCATTTGCAATTACTATTCATGCCCAGGTATGATGATTTCAAGCAAAGAGACGGTCATCACCATACCTTACTCCCCCTAAATCTGACCTTAGGCTGCTGGTGGTGCTCCATGGACATGGTGATGACGTTGAGCCCTATGACGATGGTGATGAACAGGTCCAGGTAGTGGCTGGTGCACATCTTGTGGATGAGCAGGCGAGTGGGGGAGTAATCGGAGTAGTAAGGCTTACTCTGAGCTTCTGTTGGAAGTGGGAAGTAGTGGGGGGTGGGGTGCAGGGAGTGGGGTAATGATGAGGAGGAGGGGGTGGGGGGGGGTGGCGTTCAAAAAGTGAGATAGGAGGCAATACACTGGGACACTGTACAGTAGACCTGCTGTGTTGAGGACTGGAGCAACCAAAGCTGCTTTAGAAAAAGTGGTTAGTGAAACACAACGGCAGCCTCCTGTACACTCACATGTGTCAAAGTCACTCAAGATTGTATTAAGAGTGAGAGACATGTAAAGAGAGATGTGAAGAGATTACAAAAGGGGTAGGCCGATCAGATAATGGACAGAGAGAAAGAGCGACTCCAGCCAAGCCCTCCTGTGGACTGCAGTCATGACTGATCAAATCAGATCTCCTCTCCCCTGATCAACAATTGATCCACGGAGGAGAAGGCCGCTGTCAGGATATTTTGGTCTGGAGATTTGATCTCTCCCTCTGTCTCTCTGGTCATCACGTGACGCAGCCTCCCCTTGTTCCTTTCACTTCCCTCCCCTCAGGAAGCGAACACAAAGCGGGAGAAAAGCTTTCCACACCCATCCATCACTTTGTTCCCCGCCTCTTTCCTCCAATCAGGGAGGACGGATGGATGGGCTGGGAGTAAGGGTGAGGAAGAGAGAGGAAGCTCGCTCCATCTATCACGTTGTCACTCCATCAGTGAAGGAGAGGCTCTAGGTCACGTGGGAAAGGGAACGACGCACACGCGCTACACACACTCAAAAGGCAAAGGTCCTTTGGGTGTTGTGAGCTCTCCCTCTCGGCCCAATTAGCCCAGGTGTGCTGCTGCGGTTGCAGCTGTGCCAGTCTGGATCGATTCCCGAGTGTGTGTACGTGTGTGCAATTTGTGGTGTATGACTCGTGGTTTCCCTATCGTATCGGAGTAACTCTCCTTAAAGATAGGGGAATAAGACAGGAGAGCTGAGTAGGCAGAGTCCGTTAAAAGAATAGCCATCCATCCCTGATGTTAAATATACCGATTTGCCTCTTTTGGGATTGAAAATGATCTCCTGAGATGAAGAGGCTCACAAGGAAAATTTTGTGTAATGTACATTACCACAGCGCTAAATCCTGCCACACTCAAAGATCTGCTCAGTTTTTTCTTTTACATAGAAATTCACATATTCATTATCTTTTAATACTTTCAAGTTAGCTGTTCTTTCATTTGTTTTTCAACGACATTCAATGAAAAACCTAAAGATGATGAAAAGGATGCCCTATGGGCTGCTGTATGGCTTTCAATGTGAAATCTCTGTGCAGAAAGTGTTACGTTTCTTGGCAGTAGACACTGAATAAAAGAAGTTGAAATTGATTAGTAAGAACACTTGTTACTATTAAAGGGGCACTTGAAGGTACTACAAACTGCATACTGCTTTTCATAATAGCATGTTAATCGATTAAATGGGTTTATTTTTCAGTATGCTAGGCCAGGCTTAGCTGGATAGACTGGTCTAGATAGTGGAATACTACTTAGAAAGCTAGTGTTTGGGGTGTTTGAAAACTGTGGCCGTTTATCAAGCAAGGTGCGTTGTAAGTATTTGGATAATTGAAAAGTGGGATCCAGGGATTTTGAGGCATGACCCTTGCTAGAATCTAGAAAGTCAGGATATCTTGCTTTGTTAACACATGACTTGTGACTGTACTGATGGAATTAGTGGTGCAGAAATTTACATTGTCCTCAATCTATCAAGGTAAACTTGAAAGAACTGTTGAATTTACATAACAGCAAACCACAAAACTGAGCACAGATCAGACAGCAAAGACAGGTGAATATTAAGAATAAAGGCCTATTTCGAATGTAAGCCTGTTAAAATAATTGCCTGAATGTCCCTGCTCTTAATGGCCCCAGCTACACCACTGCAAGTTGGAGAGTTGTTGAGGTTTGGTCTGCACTCTGCTGAGTGCCTTCAAGTTAATTATTCTATATTTGTGTTCAGGGTCATCTTTGCTGAGAGCTAATTCTGTGCCTGCTGGTAATTATTGATATTGACAACAGGGGAGATGAACCTGAATACTGGGGGTACCGGCTGAACCACAGGGCAGGAGTTTGACTGCTCCTGGACTCCAACGGAGATGTGCGTGCCAGAAAGTGAAAATAATGTGGCTTCTGGTGTGCTTGGCATGGCTTTTCAAATAAATGCACTAAAAGAAGATGACATACTCAGTCACCTGCTTTGCTTTTCAGGACCTTGGGTCCTAGGAATTGTCTCCATTCCTCATCTTGTCAGCTGCTTTTTATAAATGAGCCTGTACTTTTGGGCATTTCACCATATGACCCACCGAGTAGACAGTGATAAAGCAGGTTTAAAGGATCTTGGGTAAGTCTGGCCACATGTCTTTGAAGGTATAGGTATAGCCCTTGTGGAATGCAACAGCTTGGTTCATTCACTGGGAGTTCTGATTTACGAGATCCTCCATCATTTTTGGATGAGCGATTATTGATTATTTTTACTCTGTTCTACTTACTGTTGCAGGTGCGCTGCAAACTAAGGTGGACAGACACAAATAACAACAGCAATCTCTTTGTTTCAGCGCTTCCTCTATACTACCTCATTCATCTAAATATGCTGCAAAAGATGCTGTCCCATTTACATTCCCATGCAGTAAAGGTATAGTATGGGAGAGCCGAAGTGAGTGTGCTAGACTCCCTGAAAGAGTAATTTGAGGATGTAAGTAAGCATTGCTCTTCATATTATAGTTGGGGCAAAGAGGGCCCAACCCAACACAAGATAGGGGGATAGGGGAGAGGAAATGGAAGGAAAGAGGGAAGCAGAACCCTTTTGGCTAAAGCTCAACTACTCTCTAGAGGAGAGGGAATGGAATGAAGTGAGGGAAGAAAAGGTGAAAGTTTAGGAAGCCAAATTACACTGGGTGCCCAAACTCTCCTGCTCTCAATTTCACTGCTCTTTCCTCCTCCACAGAGAAAAGAGGAGAGCTGCTTTTAATGAATAACGGAGTTGATTCTGCTTCCTGCTTTGAGTCATGTTGGCATTAGGGGTGTGCATCTTCACTGGTCTCAAGATTCGAATACAATTATCAGGTCAACGATTTGATTCGATGCATCACGATGCATCACCTCAAGGGTGGGAATTTTTAAGCACCTCATTACGATTATGAGTGCTACGATGCGGTAGTAAAACAAACAGGATAAAGATGTATTTTTCTCACTGTGTGACTACTTGGTACTTTTAAAGCAAAGTATTTGTAACAATCCAAAGTAGTAGGTAGTAATGCAGATATTTAATGTTACTTCATATAAATGTAGCTAACATTGCATAGCATTATTACATTATTACAGCATTATTACTGACCTCTGCTGCTATTTTTATTTGTGAGGCTGCTGTTATTAGTATAGATTCAGATGGGGGTTGAACTACGCACTTTACAATGCTCCAGCCAAACCAAGTTCACTCCACCTTAATATATCTGTTCCTTTTTTTGTCTCGTCTAGTGTAGTTACATGTTTGTGTCTTCTGTCCAGTAAGTTACTTATTGTAATCTTGTATTGAGCACCATGGGCCTTGAGAAACATCATTTTGTTCATTTGTGTACTCGATATGTGGATGAATGACACGTAGCGCTCATATTTTCCTCTCCTCCGCTCGCTTTCGCTGTCATTTACTGCCGCCTGTCACGTAGATGTCCTTTGAAGAATGAGCAGAAGACGCTAGCTAAGTGCTACCGTGCTGCACAGTGTGCGGGCGAAAATCATTAACGATAGTTGCGCATTGATTTCGTGTGAAAGTTTAGTAGCAAACTTAACAACTGCCTGTCTGTGCCGAACCGAGAGGACACGTCTCGGTTGTGTGCACCGCACAAACGGTCCAGAGCTTTCACTTTCCCGCATTTCCGAGTTCCACCTTTTTCGTTCAGTCAACATTACGTTATCAGTTATTTTCCACACCCCTAGTGGGCATCAGGTATACATATGCATAAGGGAGAAAAACTATCAGTGGAATGAAGACCTGATTTAGCTCCCACTTTTTCTCTCCTCATTTCTCTCCCCTCCTTCACTGATGTGGCAGCCTTGTCTCTCCACTCTCACGTCATTTTGAAAGGGAATGAGGATGTACGCTGAGGCACAGAGGGGTCACCACCTCCACACCTCCCTGTACAGTCCACACTGCCTGCACTCTGCATCTCCATCCTCACATTTGACATCAGTCCTGTGTACATTTAACAGACCATCCAAGACAATCATCTCACAGGGACTTAGATCTCAATATGTTTGCTAAATAACTGCATTGCTGAAGGTATTTTTTGACCCACAAAAACAAACTAGGCTGCAAATGCTGGGTCTCGACAAAACAGATCTTTACAATACTTTCTCTTTTGACGCTTTTCCAGTCCACTGGATCTGGCTTTGTCCTGTTGCTGCTCAGTCACGGCTGCTAGAAATGATCTGCTGCTATTCTTGCTGGTGAAACAATGTCCAGACAGTGATCAGACATCTGATGTGTCTCAGCCTGTCCTTTCTGTGCTCTCCTGCTCTCTTGTGTTTAAATACAGCTGGATTTACAATACAGTTGTTCTCATTTCATATTTTTCTGTTTCTGTTGGCGCACAATGGAACGAGTATCGCAGCTCATGAATACAACTACATGTTAATCAGCAGCCATTCGCAAGCTGCTGTGCTGCGGGCCTTATTTATAGCATTATTATAAAATCACCGACATTTAAAATGAGCTATCACCGCAGGTGACAAAAGGTCATCTTCTTAATGCCACACAGCGCCCGACCCTCACTGGGCAAGTCTGGTGTTGTTCTGCAAGACCTCCATTTTGGGATGAGACAAGCAACTTAGTGAGGAAGGTGGCGAAACTTGGAGAAAAATATGCATTTATAAATTGTACCGACATAGGCTAAGCTATATCCACTATTCAAGCGTGGGTCAGTCAAATAACTAAACAACCAGAAAGCATCTGTTTTTAAGCTAAAAATGTGTACTGTACAACACAAAAAAGGTGGCTAAACAACTGTAAACTACATTGTTAATGTGGCTGCTGAGGAACAGATGCTCCAATTCTGCA